ATCATGTTTGTCTGTATGTGTGGGATGGTGCTGCTCTAGACGTAGACTGAGTAGGAACAGGGTAATTCTCACTGGATTTTTCTCTTCTGCTCTACTTCTTGTAAGCACTAGAAACGTCAGACTGGCAGCGACACTCAGTCGCCCTGGGAGGTGGCCATGTGTTCTCCATGTGCTCCATGGTTTTTCTAATGAGATTATAAGTATCTGAGTCCCTAAACCATAGTGTCAACAGCTCATAATAAGTGATAACCATTGAGTCAGGTGTACTGCTGGGGTGAAGATTTTGAAATGGAGTAAATCCTGGCCACGGCCCTGGGAACCTTTTGTCTAGAGATAAGGCAGGAAGGAGTCAGCTGGTACAGGTGCCATGGAGGACTTAGCACAGGCCCCTGAGGTTCTCAGCACGGGCATTGGGACCTGGAAGAAGAGGTCTTCCGTTGAGCCACTTAGGTCTACAATCTTTCCATCACTACCCAATCATTTTTATATATAAGTAGGTTTCTTATCATGTGAGTAAAATGTAGTTATTATTTTATAAAAAGGAAATACCGATAAAGCAGAAAACGCAAACGTCACAGTTGACACTGTTAACATTTGGATACAATCATTTCCAGAACAAAGTTTGTCCAGAGTGAGGACCGAAACTCAGATTAGACACATAGAAAAGGGTATTTCCAGCCTCCCAGTGGCTGTATCCAGAAGGGCAAACAATCACCATCTACCATCCCTTGGTCACTCCATCTTTCATGCTTGCTTTGGTCAGCCTGGCTTTACAGCCTCAGTCCCCATAGGCCCTGACTTTCTGCTCATTTGGAAATACGGACCCTGACAGTTCATAGTTACATCATCCATGTGCCTGGAATATTGAATGGGAGGGAAGAGGGGAAGAGAGAAAAAAAGAATGGATCCCACTGGGTCAATCAAGGACTAATCTGATTGATTAATCCTTTCCAACACAGTGGATTGTGAGGAAGAAAGACTGAGCTGCATAGAGAGAGGAGCAGAAAAGGAATAAAAAAGATGCCAGTCTACTCCTGCCTATTATATATCAATTTATTGATATATAATTATATATCTATTTATTTGTCTGGCATAAGAAGCTATTTGGAGAGCTGAAGGAAATGGGAGAGTGCCTAAAACCTACCTTGAAATGCAGGTTCGTTTTATTGAAGTGCTCAGGAGCTGAGCCAGGTACCAGGATATACAGCTTTGGCTCAGGGGCATTAGACTGATGTTGGAGGAGGGCCTCTTGTTGGTTCCGGGCTGCCCGGCTAGCTTAGACCTGAAATAATCACAAAGAAACCATATTATTTAAACAACTGCTTAGCCCATTAGCTCTAACTTCTTGTTGGCTAACTCTTACATATTGATTTAATCCATCTCCATTAATCTGTGTATTGCCACGTGACAATGGTAAGCCACAAAGTTTCAGCATGTCTGGCTCTGGCAGCAGCTCCATGGAGTCCCTCTGACTCCACCTCCTTTCTCACAGTATTCAGTTCCATCTTCCCTGCCTACTGAAGTTCTGCCCTGCTGTAGGTCCAAAGCAGTTTCTTTATTCATTAATGGTAATCACAGCATACAGAGGGAAATCCCACATCACCTCCCCTTTTCTGTTTAAATAAAAAGGAAGGCTTTAACTTTAATATAGTAAAATTACCTATAACAAAAAAGTTATCAAACAAGAATTATAGTTACAATATTTCTATTTATTTTATCTTTTATCATAGCTAAGGAAAATTATAATTATAACTATGTACTTATTCTTCAACTTCATCAAAGACTCCAGAAGGATATAACATTACCTAAGTAAATAGGAAGTGCATTGTAAGCAACTTCCAAAACTCTAGAATTGACAGAGGCATCTCGCTGCCTTGACAGTCACCCAAAGTTCTTCTGTACCATTGGGTCATCCATCTTTAGCCCACATATCCAGCAGACTTTCCATGATGCAGGAAATTTCAAAGACAGTTCTACCTATACTGGCAGTTTGTCAGTCACTTTTTTCTGTGTCTTGCAGAATGTCTAGCAGACTGTTTCATGAAGCAGGAACCCCAAAGGATCATCTCACCTTTAGGCAATTTCAGCAGTCATCTCTCTGTGGGTCCTGCATGTCCAGTTCATAAAACTGTCTAGGCAAGAACAGTTTCTTTATTCATTAACCAATAAAAGCAACACACTATGACAAGGGCAGTTTCTTGCCCAATTGGTTAACAAACTCTATAAGGAGCCTCTTTGATGCCCATCTTCCTCTTGAAGTAGCTTGGTGCTGCCAGGATCTGATGTGTCTCACTGTCATAAAAAGTCCTAATTATTTAAAACATTTAAATGTCATATTCTGAAGGTCTCTGAAAGATTTGAAGACTACCTATCTAACTGAAATATATCTCTGTATATCTAGAAAATCTAACTAACATGGCTACAAGCTTGATTATTATAGATGACTATCTATTAACTTATATTTCTTAATTATACATTACATTTTTAAATGAGCTACACAAACACAATACCTTACTCAAGATCAGAAATACATATACATATAACAAAATTAACCTTAAATTTGTATCAATAAACCAAGATCCATACCAATGGAAAGTATTTTTGCCCCTCGAAAACTCCCATGGCTACCCTGGGCGAGGCACACTTCCCTCTCCTTAGCTGACACTTTTAGGAAGGAAACCAAGTGATGCTCTCAGAGTCTCCTTACTCCTGTCACTTGGGAGGTGGCACTGCATCTTCTCACTGTGTAACTTGGAGACTTGCATGATGTTAAGCTTGGAGGTGTCACTTGGTTTTGTAACATGCACAAAGTCAGAAACAGAACCTCCTGTGCTATCCCTCCTACCCTCTGTGTATGTGTGTGTGCACGCGCACATGCGTGTATGTAAATGCTACTGTATACAGGCAAATATGTGTGCTTGTGCAGAGGTCAGAAGACAATCTTAACTGCCACTATTCAGGCACCACCCACCTTCGGGCTTTGTTTGTGCATGTGTGTGTACATGAGTGGGTGCACAGGTACGTGTGCACATATATATATATATATATATATATATATATATATATGCATGTGTGTGTAGAGGATTGGGTATCTTCTTTACTTGATCTCCATTTCAGGTTTTGAAATATAGTTTTTTTGATAAACTTGGAATCAAGCATTTGGCAATCCCGAGGATATTCCTGGCTCTACCTTCCCTGAGCAGCATTACAGGCATACGTGTCTGCATCTTGCTTATTTTATTTTTTCGAGACAAGGTTTCTCTGTACCTTTAGAGCCCATCCTGGGACTCACTTTGTAGACCAACTGACCTGTAACTCACAGAGATGCTCCTGTCTTTGCTTCCTGAGTGCTGGGATTAAAGGCGTGCGCCACCACTGCCTGGCTCATCTGCCTTTTTTTTGTTTTTCAAAGGAAATGCAGCTAATGGCAATGAAACTTGGATTGTTTTAGCTTGAAAGAAAAGAACTTTTCTGTCAGAGCCAATTTCTAGTACCACACATTGCTTGTTTGGTTTGTAATAAAAATTTTTTGCTTATTTATGTTGTGTGCGGATATTCTGTGTGTTTGCATGTTGCGCATCATGGGTGAGCCTGGTGCCAGTGGATGCCAGAAGCAGGTTTTGGCTTTCCTAGGACTGGAGTTACAAATGCCTGTGAGCTGGCATGTGAGTGTTGGGAATAGATCCCTGGTCCCCTGCAAGAACGGTCAGGGCTCTTAGCTGCTGAGCCATCTCTAGAGTCCACTCCATGGCTTTTTTTTTCTGACAGCTTCTTCCACTGGCCTGGGCTTCACCAAGTGCGCTGGGCTGTCTGACAAGCAAGCCCCAAGGATTTTGCCTGTTCTCACTCTCCCAGCTTTGGGTTTATAAATGCAAACCATCAGGCTTGGTTACATGGACCCTGGGGGTAAAACTCAAGTCATCACGATTTCCAGGCAAGCACTTCATCAACTGACCCATTTCAGCATACCCAGTGTTGCAAATCTTAAAAAAAAAAAATCTGGAATGGGGCCCCCAGTGCAGGTTAAGACTCCTGTCGAGGCATCTGGAACAAGACTGCTAAAGAGAAAAAGAACATTTTCAAGGGACAGAGTAGCTGCCCAAATCTAAATCTAACAGAGCTTTCTCTGAGGTCAAGGAACAATGTCATCCCTATAGTAATCTTGTTTGGGTTCCTTGTCCATTACGGTTTCAAGGTGGAGCTGACTCTGCAGTAACTATCACAGATTGCCATTGGATTGGCCATGTTCTGGAGAAAGAAAGGCCACACCTACCTCCATCTTTGGAGATCAAATAGAGAATCGATATCAACCTTGAGCAGAAAAAAAAATCTAGAGACTCATGTGGCAACAATGACCAAGAAGACTTCCCAAATGTGGATGAAGGTACAAACGAATCTGGGCCTCTGATCCTCTTTTCTGCTGGAAGAATTAGTAAACTATACCTTCGGATGGAAGAACGGGACAGGTACTGTCATTTCTACACAATTCATGCATTGTTTGGGAACCTTATTGTTGAGTGCTTTTCATACGGTGTGTCCCCAGGAGGATGACTATCTCATTGTTAGGTGATATTTTACAGGGCACCGTTGCCTGTGCCGTCAATCATTGACCGTATCATCATTATGTTGCACAAGACTGTATATAATCCATGTCCCCTGGAAGTGTCAGGATGACTCTCCTGCACCTGCTTTGCACAATTGTGGCCAATGGGGTTCTCCTGCTTTGATAACTGGCAAGTTCTAGCAGAGAGGAATTAGGGTTCTTCCTCCCAAACATGAGTTTCTTAAACAGGGGCATAGCTCAGACCCTGTTCAAATGCTTGCCTGAAGGCACCATGAAAAGACAGCACCCTGCTCGGCACCAGACTCCTTCTGGCTCCTAATAAACCATAGAGCTTGTATTGACTGTGCAAAGGTTAAAAGCATACAAATAAATACTAGGTATTCACATGGTACAAAGAGTCACCTTTGCTCCTAAAATTGATATATTACTTCTTAATCTGATCATGTAGAACATGGCTCTTAAGCCAACACAGGACATGATAAAACCTGATATACAGAACAATGTACTTTGTAAAATAGATGATTGCAAAACACTTTGAATGTGTACAGCATTTATATGGGTGCTTAATGATCACAGCAATTATTTTACAACTTAATTGTGGGAAAATTAAAGGAATAAAGTAGCTTAACAAGTTCAAGAATTTATCAGACTCTGGAGCACGAGGAAGATAAACTGGAGAGTTTGTAGCTTAGCATTGCCTCCTGCCACTGTTAGACCCACAGTTAGACTTCTTCTTAGTGTTAAAGCTGGAGACTTGGGGCTGCATGCTTGCTAGGCAAGCATTCCACCAACTGAAATACATCGACAGCATGGTGGCACCTTTTGTGTTGGGGATTTCTAAAACTGAAGTCACTGGCTAACCGTGCTGGTCCCGGGCACTCTGTGAAGTGGACTGAAGGTAAGTGGATTTTGAGCTTTACTATATTTGCTTGCCAAGTCTATTAAAGAAATAGCTTACCATACTGTTCAGTGAGAGTGCTTATGGCCTTGGGATTTTTATACCTTTGGTCTTTGGCTGCAATAGTTCATACATAATAAACTGAGATTAAAGGTGTTTCTTGTCATGAGATGAATAATATTTAACACAAGGATTCATGCTATCTACCTGGTAACCTTGGACCAAATCACTGTAATAATTTGTTGGTGTTTTTTAAATTAGAATTTCATTCTACTTTGATATGAGTTGATTTGCTGTCTCCAACGGAAAGTTTGAAGCACATGCCCAGGCAGAAGAGCCTGGCATAATTTGCCGAAGGACAAAGCTTGAGCTGGGTCTGGGGGCACAGGCCTGTCGACCCAATGCCCTGGGGAGACTGAGCAAGAGAATGGAAGTGCAAGCCCTGCAGGTGTTTAGGGAGTTCAAGGCTAACCTAGGCTGAGTTGTCTCACTATGTGCCTCTCTCACACACTGTCTTATAATAAAGATACTGGAATGGGAAGGCCGCTTGTGTGTCCTGGCCACCCAGAACAGAAATAATCACACAGAAACTGTATCATTTAAATCACTGTTTGCCCCATTAGCTCTAGCTTCTTATTGGCTAACTCTTATATATTAATTAACCCATCTCTATTAATCTGTGTATCGCCAGATGGCAGTGGCTTGCGGGCAAAGTTCCAGCATGTTTGACTTTGGTGGGGCTACATGGCCTCTCTCTGACTCCGCCCTTTTTTCTCCCAGCATTCAGTTCAGTCCTCCCCATCTAGCTCTGCTCTGCCCCACCCTGCTCTCCTATAGGCTCAAAGCAGTTCTTAATTCATTAATGGTAACCACAGCATACAGAGGGAAATCCCACATCAGGATACAAAAAGGATTGGGGCCTTAGTTTCAATCCTCAGTAAAAATAAAAAGATACATAGAAGTACCCCCCAAAAAATGATAATTAAATATTCCATCACATTTTGAAGTTCAGATTTGCTGTCTCACAATCCTTTGCATCCATCCACCCAATGCGTATCCCTTTGAGGTAGAATCCCATATCATTTATCACTATTTATACACTAAAATTAAATGACTGAATTCACAGGACATTAGTTAAGAAAACATTTCCTATTTCATCCAATCCTACGCATCTGTTTAGAAGTACGTTTGAAAGGCTGTGTTGAGTGAGCACAATTAACTAGTTAATGAACTCACTTCCCGCTTGCCCTGGAGTTATAATTGCTAACTGTTGTTAGTTGATCTAACGAAAGCCCTGGGAAAGCCCTGGGCCTTTATCAGAAGCGTTAAGAGTTGGAGAGTGTTGGATGCCTTGAATTTCCTCACACTCAAACCTTGTGAAATTTAAACACACATGGAAAAATCTGAATGTCTTGTGAAAGCCACCAATAATCTGTAAAGGAGGCCTGAATCTAGTAGCAAAAGAGGGGAGCAGCTTTCATAGTCCAAGGGTGAATGTAAGAAAGCCTGGATGTAGTAATGCCCTTTGGGGTGGCAGCTGCTAGTTCAAACTTGGGCTCACAGCAGTGAAGAGGTGTGTGAGTGTGTGCGCATGTGTGTGTGACTGTAGCTGTATGCATGTGTACACCATGTACATGTGCAGATATTAGCTCCATGTGAGGCAGCTTTTTGAATTGTTCTGGAACAGCCTTCTCTTGATTATTTTCATTTACCAAGAATGCATGCATGCCCAACCCTCCTTGGAAATCCCTGTTTGAAGAGCCCCTTGCCTTCTTCTATTTAGTCCCTCTTCCTTCCTCCCAGGATTCTCCTAAATGCCCAGGCATTGCTTACTTTGCCCATCTAAGCACACAGGAGCTGGTGCCCAGCACGAGCAGAGGCTAGGCGACAGCTGTTGCCAGGTGCACATTTGTGACAACCCCACCAGCTGAAGGAACAGAGTCACCTCAGAGATGTGCCATCGATAACCAAGGAACAATTATTGCCCCAGATGGCCAGCCAGCAGGAGGCTCTGTGTTTCTTTTCTGTTTGACCAGATGCCAGTAGGGTGCCAGCTGTGTTTAGAACAGGCTGCATTGCAAAATACAGCAGTGCCCTTAATGGCATCTGAGGTTGCAGGACACTTGTAGCAAGAGTCGATCTAGGTGTTGGTGGGGTTGGTTTTCACACCCATACTTGAGGTAGATACTACATCTCAAACCTTACAGCCCTTGCGAATGGACACCTATCAGGAGTTAAACACCCATATCAGTTCCACCTTGTTCCAGGATTCTGAAAGAAGGGATGGCCCCCAGAAGGCTCTGTTGTTAAGTTCAGGACTTTGTAATGTGCAGACAGCCAAAGGAACATTCTCATTTATTCCAGTTCTTTCTTGTAGCTCATGGCTGTGTGGTTTGTGCATAGAAGCAACCCACTCAAATTCAGCAGCCAGGTATCAGAGCAGAGAGAGGTGGGCTAGACCTGAGGGAGCCTGGTGTGGTATCCTGAAGGCCAATCTGGGGGTTACTGAAAGAGGCGAAAGGCCTGTTGCATACTGAGGTGCATGAGTCTAATCCCAGCACTTGGTGGGAGGTGGCTGATATGGGTGGATTAAGAACTCAAAGCCATGATGGGCTACAGGGTGAGACCTCGATCCAAGAACAATAAAATCAACAGCAAAACCGGAATGAAGACGAGGAAAGAGTCAGGACTGATGAGGACCGGGACTGGGTCAGCTTGCTATGAAACCATTGCAGAGTTTAGATACAACTGTCCCTCTGCATCCAGGAGCATCTCCATGTTCCCAGACCCAATATCTGTAGGCTTACATACCATGAGACTTTAGTAAGTGAAGGTACGTAGGACGATGAGTGCAGGTTATATGCAAGCACCCATTGGCCTACCCATAAGGGATCTGAGTCTCTGTGGGTATTGATATATGGAGGCAGGGAGAGCTGGTACCAGTTCCCCATGAACACCGAAAGATGACTATGCATATATTTTATATAGTTTATACACCTGTCCATGAGTTGTTTTTTTTTTTTTTTTCAAATCCCGTTGAGGCACAAACTACAGCCCAGAGTGATTTTATTGGTTCTAAAACTTACACAGTTTGAGTGACTCTTAAAGAGAAACAAATTGAAAGTATAAAATTATTAGCTATACAAGCGATCTTTTTTATGAATAAAAAAACATTTTTAACTAGTCACATAGCACCAAGAACTTAAAGTTTGAAATGCATAACCCTTTACAAATTGTCTGATGCCATAACTCTTTTGTCTATATTTTTTTACTTCACATTTTTATTTGTCTCTTACCATAGCATATATTGATGTATTATTATTCATAGAAAGACTAGGGAGATAACTCCATCTTCCTGATAACATGGTGATGCTGTTGGGCTGTGTAAACCTCACACTGTTACCACTATAGAGTTGTATTTGACTGAATGTTTATGTCCATACAAAATACATAAATTAAAACCTAGTCCCTGACGGGAGTTCATAGGGTGGAGGAGTGTTGGGCTTTGGGGTGGTGATTGGGTTGTGAACATGGGGCCCTTGTGAATGACATCTGTGGCCTTGTATTTGAGGCTGCAGAAAGCTCAGAGAGAAATTAACCATACATGTACCAAGAGAAGGCCTCCTAGATACTAAACCTTTTCCCATCATGTGTATGTGTGTGTGTATGTGTGTGTGTTAGAGCACACAGATATGTGTGCACGCATGTAGAGACCAGAGAATAACTGGACATTCTTTCTCTTTAGGCACCAGCACCTTGTCTTTAGAGACAGGGTCTCTCATTGGCTTGCATCTCACTGTGGCCTGTAAGCCCCAGGTTTCTGGATGCTTCTGCTCCCCCAGCCCTGGGATTCTAAGAAGGGGCCACCAAGGCTGGCTTTCTGCGTGCACACTGGTGACTGAACTCAGGTCCTTATACTTGCATGGTGAGTGATTTCCCTAGGCCCCCTATTGGCATCTTAGTTTTGGTTTCTCAGCCCTGAGAACTGTGAGAAATTGACTTCTGCTCTTTCAGACCTCTGGTCTATTGCCTTATAGTGAGCCAAATTACCTAAAAAGCCCATGGATGCTGAGGTATAACGGTCATATTTCCAACAAAAGGCTTTGTCTTGGTGCCAATGAGAATAAACCACATTGTGATTTTGCAGCTTTACACGTCTGATTGCTAAAAACATCTCACAGACCAGCTTAGCTTTCTTCTAATTCCTGCTTCTTCCCCACCCTCCAGATGCTCGGAGCCGCTCAAGACAGTTTCACCACTGGAGAGCCCAGCAGTGTTCAGTCTTGCCTTGGCTCTTCGTGACAGAACGTCCCTCTCTGAGAGCCGATGCCTTGGTCAGGCTTCCCCCTCACCCTCAAATCCTGTTCTCTTTGTACTAACAAGGGTCAAACTTGATTGAATTCTGAGAATAATCAGAAAAATGAAATTGGTGTAGGGGCGTGGACTTTACCTATGACTTCCTTATGACAAGAAACCTTTACCTGTGAGACCTGTTCCTACCCTAATTGTTGGATAATGAGCACCCTACTGAAAATTCCTTCTTTTGAACTGAATGCCATGTATTTTCATTTTATGCTATTTTTATTCCAAAAAACCTCTCCCCATCTCCATCTGCATTGCTCTAGCCCTCATAAAGAAGGTTAAGAACAAGAGGCATCCAGAAGCCTCTCATGATGAGAAGCATCAAGCCCTCACCGTTTCCTTGAACACATGTACAATTATTTCATTCAGTAACGTATCACAAAATGACCTGAACAAACAAAGGATTTCCTATTCTCCTGGCCTCTATAATACGGTTGACTCATGCTGCATTTTCTTAGAAACATTTTTTAGTAGATTGAGATTTTTTTCTTTTAATTTGGAGCCACCTAATTTCTGTTTGGATGCATCCGCTTTGCCCTACCTAACTTTGGAGTAGGAGATCCATGGACTCGGTCCTCAGAATGCTGCAGGCTAATTTTCTTCTCTCTTTTAGCCCATCTCCATCTGAGACAATTATCTTTGACGTCTGGAGATGGAGTCCATCTTTGCTCAAGAGGACTAGCCCATCTTGGAGGAATTTTAAGTGTTCTGCTGGATACAACTTGTACCGACACGTGTTTATTTCCACAGTGCACCTGTTCCTCCGGCGGTGGGACCTCTCCACTCAAGCCAGCCTCAAGCACAGCCTAAGCACAGCCCCACGCCTCCTCCTTCAAAAGAGCAAAAATAGCCGGCATGTACTAACAGCTTATCAAGAGCCCCAAACTATCCCAGGCGTTTTTATGTACTTTATCTCATCTCATCCCCACAGCAGCTTGGGAAAATAGCCAGAAAAGAAACTTGAGGCTCGGAGAGACAAAGCCAGTTGCTCGACGTCGCTCTGTGACGAAGCAGAGCATGAAGGAAGCCTAGTCATCTAGGTCCGGGGTCTGAGGTCCTGCATAAAGATGGCGACTGTTATTTGTGTGGTTTGAAGGAGTTGAGGGCATGTGGATGAAATCAGGTCTTTAATGGCCAAGGCCTTGGTCAATTCTTTATTACTGTCTTCTCCGCAGCTGTGAGGGGCACACCATGCTAGGTTGCCCTCAACACCAATTCCACAATGGCACTTCGATAAGGGGATATGATAGAACAATGTGCTATAGAACCTTAAATCTATGACATCACCTGTATGACATGTTTACCTGCATACATCCATTCATGTCTATGGAACATTTAGATGTATATATCCATGTACAGGTATATACACATATGAAGAAAATTAATTAAATTTTCTTCAACATATATGAGACCAGATGTAGGTGCTGTCTTTGAAGGGGACAACTTCCTGATAAGACAGGACACTTCTGACTGCCTGCTGTAAGTCCTCTGGGAATTTGTGTGAGTATGCATGTGTGTGTGTGTGCACATTTCCACAAGATTAATTCTTTTTCTTGCTACTCACGGTACCGTTCTCACAAATCTGTGATTCACAGCAGGAATGCAGCCCGGAACTTCTGCTATGTAAGCAGCTGTAGATGCTTCAAATACCACTGGACATGTGATCCAGGGCTCACTATAAATTTACCCCTAAAAATAAAGCAACAAGTGACCGAATGGCACTAAGAATTAGTCACTGCAATGCGTAAATGGAATGTGCCAGGCTCTACCTCAAAATTCCCTTTATAAAAAGATGGTTATAATTAAAACCCGAAAGAAATACCTGAAGGTGCTGTGTTGGAGTCAATGTGCTGGAATTTTTGTGAAAAGAATGCTATTGTTATTTTAAAGGAGAGATACACAGAGAGAGGACTTTCCATGACTTCTATAGCATTGGAAATAGAGTGGCATTATTGCATCACCGAGAACTGCATTCTATAAAGGAATTAACTGGACTCAGGCTTGGTACTCCGGGAGGATTTTGAAGGCTGAGAGGCTCTTGGTTAAGCTGTTTGCCATAGAGAGAAAGAAATTCACGTCTAAAATTTGCACCACAGCTTGTGACAGATTAGCTTGGTGATTCAGAACTGGGAATAACCTCGCGAGAGTGCCATGCATCTCATGCTTCCAAAAGTCGGTGTCAACTGTGAAAGTCGTGAAAAAGCGAAAACCCGACATAAGGGGAGAAAGTGGGAATCCGAAGGCTGTCACTTCGTGTGACCTGCCCTTTCTTCTATGTCTGGAGTATGGAGTTTAAGTCCAAGGGCCACTTTCCCTGTAACAGTCTGACATGAACAAAAGAAGGAAAATGGGGAAGAGAGGACGAGATGGAAAGGGAAAGGGAGACGGGGAGAGGGAGACTGCGGGGGAGTGACAGAATGAAGACAGAAGAGAAGGAAGAAGAAAGAAAAAAAAAGAGGGGAAAATAAACACTAACTACCACTTCTAAAAAGATCAAGCAGCTCCTAAAGGCTTCCATGGTGCTGTTTGGGATGGAGATGGAGACCAGTGGGAGGAGGATGGAGAAAAGGAAGGGAAATTGGAAGATAATTATCATCTAAATAGGTTAAATGCATGTATGAAAATGTCTATTTTGTACAATTAATACTTTAAAAAGAGAGAGAGAAACTTCCTGATTCTGAGTATACCACAGGTAAAAGGCTCGGCCCATCAGAAAGAAAATTTGATTGAAGATCAATTTTTGGACATGGGAAAAGTGAGGGAGAGTTCTTAAAGCCACTTGAATTACCGGAGATGAAAGGTTAAAAGCCTTAAAGACCAAAGACTACATTAGCAACTGAACAGCAAACACCATCAACAGAAACACGCAGAAATTAGCAGAACGAATGTTAAATCTCGAAGAGCAGGAAAAGGAATTCATTTCAGCGGCCCAAAAAGATTTCCTTTTCTCTGTATTCCAAAATCAATTGTTTAGTGGATGGGAGTCCTAATGGGTAGTTTCTATTCAGTTCTTTAAAACAAGCACACAATCCGCTGTGGGCTGCACAGGGCAGAGATCAAAGCAGGTAGATTATCAGACAGTTACCCAGTGCTCTGCACTCTGTCAGGGGCTGTGAGTGTTTCTACGAGGAATGGGGATGCACTCTGATCTGCATCAGCCTTAATCTCTCATGAATCAGGTTTAAAACCACATACCATAAGTCTGGCTTTTGTGGCATTCTCTAGTTTCTAGTAGCTATGCGGCAGGGTGAACCACTATAATGGTGAGAAGCCGAGGCGGTTATATTTATTAATCTAGCATTAAGAGGACCTTTCCAGGTAGTGAATGATAGTCCTTTTTATTATGTCATTTGCAGGAAAAGGGGATGAAACCGGAGATCATCGCATTAAGTGAAATAAGCCTGATTCAGAGACATAAGTTTTCTACCATATGCAGAACCGAGACTTAAAATACAGGTGTGCATAAGATATGAAAGTAGAAAGGGGACTATGCAGGGAAAGGAGGGGATTGAAAGTCAGCAGAGAGGAAAACAAATGAGGATGTGAGAAGGTAAAAGCCCAGGCAAATATTGCATGTTCTATCTTACATTTTATACACACGAACACACACACGCACACCACGAGAGCATGTGTACTGCTGCTTGAGGGGAGTAAGCAAAACAACGGGAGGGGAAAGGGCCGAGGTAATGTGAGGGGATAAAGATTAAAAGGGCATGCCACACATACATGCAAATGCCATAATCCAATATTTTGTACATTTCCTAAGAATTTTTAAATTATTATATACTTTCTTGGCATCTCAGAGTAAGAGGAGCGTGGTTTTAACCTCTGCAAATTCCCCAGCTAACATGATTCTTAGTGGTGGTAAAAATGAAGTGTTCCTTCTATGGACAGATCAAGCAAAGATGCTCACTTTTACCTTGTCTATCCTGCTGCTGTTGGGGGTCTTCAGGACAATTAGGTAAAAAGAAAGAAAAGGCATCCCTCAAATGTAATAATTAGTGATCAGATTTAGCAAAGTTGCCGTATACAAAACTATTACTCAAAATCAGTTGTGTTTTTACGCACTAATAATGAATAATCAAAAGAAAACCAAGAACATGATCCCATTAAAGACAGCATGAGAAAGAATATAATACTTAGGAATAAACTTAACTTAGAAGACGGAAGCATTTGATTAAACACTGCTGCAAGAAATCAAGGAAGTAATAGATGAAGACAATCCAAGTCCTCAGATTGAATTAGTTGGCATTGTTAAAATATCTGCACAGCCCGAGTTAATGTCAGGTTTCAAAGGGTCCCTCGCAAGGTGCATGCTTAAAGACAGGAAACAGTCCTCAAGTTCATATAGAATCAGTGATTTTTATGTTGAGTGACCAAAACAATCTTAAGAAAGAAAAACAAAACTGAGACCTCAATACATCCTGATTTCAAAACTTACAAATAGACTATAATCCAAACAGTATTGTATTGGCAAAAAGGTGGGCGTGTAAGCCAGCAGCAGAACAAGCCCAGAAATAAACCCTTATATATCAAGTTAAATGATTTTCAACAAAGATATTCAGTCTACCCAAGGAAGAAAGAATGGTCTCCTTTATAACTGGTCCTGGGAAAATTAAAAATACGATGTCAAATGAATAATATTTGTGCATGCTACAGGAAAAGTATCTCAAACTGTATTACAGTACTAAACACAAGTCTTGAAATCATAACGTTCCTAAGAGGAAACAGTAGAAAAGATTCAGAACATTATAATCTTTTTGGAAAAGACACAGGCAACCACAGCAAAAATAGACAAATGGGACTCAAGAAAACTTGGAATCTTTGGGCAGCAAAGGAAACAATACAGAGGAAGGCAAGCTTCCTTTGAATATGGGAAAGCATTTGCAACCATGTTATTGAATAAGGTCTTGTCTAGCATATAGGACAGGCTACTATAACTCAATAACAGCAACAAATAAATAACTTCATGCAGAGCTAGCAAACAAAATAGAGCCAACCGATGCAGCCATTTCTTCTAGGAAGCCACACCAATGGGGACTGAAACCTTGGAAAGAAGCTGAGTTAATGAATGAGAAGGGAATTTGTATTCTGAGCATAACAGGACTGCTATATTAAAGAACTCATGGTAGCCATGGTCACCTGCACAAACCATGGTTGCCTGCAGCAGATCAAGGCAATCAACATTCTAGCATGGATTGAAGAGGGGCTTATAAACCTCCACCCCTACTTGAGAAGCTATTGACAGTTGATGGGGGGGACTGGTTAGTTTTCCTTAAGGGTGTGGTCACCAGGCTTCAGTGGATGGCCTCACACCAATAAAAATAGGAATAGCACAAATTCAACCTGGTGGGTTAATCAAAAAGAAAAAAAATCACAAAGTTGGGAGCGAGTGAGGATTAGACCTGGGAAGAGTTGGAGGTGGAGCTGGGAGTGGATGTAATAGAAATACATTGTATGCATGTATGAAATGCTCAAAGAATTAAGAAAAGTATTGTATTTTAAAAATTTTTACATCCCAATCAAAGTTTCCTGTCTCTTGCCTCTTCCCAGTTCCTCCCCGCTACCCGTTACCCCTCTCCCCCTCCTCCTTAAAGATGAAAACCTGGCTGGGCAGTGGTGGCGCACACCTTTAATCCCAGCACTGGGAAACAGAGGCAGGCTGATCTCTATGAGTTAGAGGCCAACCTGATCTACAGAGTGAGTTTCAAAACAGGCTCCAAAGCTACAGAGAAACACTGTCTTGAAAAACGAAAAACAAAACAAAACAAAACAAAAACCTGGTATAGGCTGCAATATGAGAGAACCTTTAAGACATTATACTGGATGAAATAAACTCATTACAGATAGGTAATAATCCACAAACTCATTCACATTTTAGAGTCCGAAGGAACCAAATTCAGAAACAAAGATGGGAAGTAAGCTGATGATTATGTGAAAGGGGGGCAGGGGATGAGCTTTTCAGTGCATCTAGAGATTCCGTGACACCGTTTGAAAAAGTTCTAGAGTTTGGTGACACGAAGGGGCACGTGATCCACAATGCCTTCCTGTGAACTTAAATGCTTTTATGAGATGACATTTAAGACATGTTTAAGGTCACATAAAAAAAAAAAAAAGACATCCAAACTTTTTCCGTAGTACTTTCCAGTACAATTTACTCCTTCTTGGGGCTGTCAGTTCGCATGTCTGACTTTTGCTGCTCTCTGGCTTCTAATCCTGTCCTAGTTAGAAAACAGTGTTTGGCTAAATGACCCCGTACCTCTTACACATTTATGAGCGTGTGTACAGCTGATCGCCTCTCAGTGGCCCACTTCCCTACTCATTCATATAAACACACTTCCAGGGCCTGCGATCATCACATGCTTGGCCTTGGCATCCTACATTGGATATTAATGAGCCTTCTGCAGTTTTCCCAAGAGTGAGGATACCTAATTAACCAGATAGTGGAGGATCGGCTCTTGCCTCAGGTCAGAGGGATTCACAGCTACTTTTTTTTTTTTTTTTGATAAGACCTTTTTCATGTTTGGCCTAACAAATGCAACAGTCCCAATTCAAAAGACTTGTCACTACTCAGACACTGCAGCCTTTCATCGAACTTAGTGAGATACAGACTCTAAGTTCCTGCTTTGTCCGCCATATTTGGATAGTGATGACTTCGTTTCCTTTCCGGTAGATAGCACACCCTAAAAAGTCACCTCTTTACTTTGTAAACTAGTTGAACTTGACTTTTAACTTCCTTGTTACCTTTTCCTGATCTTGCTTTGCTTTACAGAGGCGAAGTTCTTAACGGTTGTTCAGAATCATAACATTTTTATTGTACATAGAAGTTTGTTTTTTCAAATTATAGAAAGATCAGAGTGAAATACTATCCAAAAATATTTATAGTCAAAACCACAAACTCCCCCGGTCCAGTCCTCAAGACCTGCTTTGTAGAGTCAGTCACCATTGGCCAACAACAGCTACAATTGTTTAAAAATTTTATGTATGGTTTCAGAGATACACAAGTTACATGCACTCATGAGAGAATACCATAGAATCATTCTGTATTCTGCTTTCTTCACTTAAAAACATTAGACATTGGATCTAAAATTCCACAATGATCGATTTAATGGATAAAATTAGTTAGTGTTCTTTTGATGTATATTAAGGTTGTTTGCATATTCTAGCTATCAGGGGCATTTAGAATGTAATTTAAAAAGAAATTTCACATATAACTCAAGTGCATAAAACATACTGAGGGAGTACTATGTAAATTTATCATCAAAACTTAAGTCACATATATTGAAACCATTAAAATATAGAAACCCCCTTTTCCGTCTCTTCCTCTTTATCCTTCCTCTTCTTCATTTTCCCTCTTAACAGGGGTTCACTAGATGGCCCTAGATACCCTCAAACTCAGCCAAGGCTTTAAACTTTCAATCTTGCCTCAGTCTCTTAAGAAATGGAATTAGAGCTTGAACCCACCACACCAGCTGTAGGAACTAGCCTTTCTATATTGGGAGTTTGCACATTCACGACACAGGTGATCTGGGCGGGGGGAGACGTCTGTGACACCTGTTGAGAATAAATGGTCCAAGAACAAAGTGTGGGCACCTGAACTAGCATTAAAAGAATGGCACAGAAAAAAAATGGTAAATGCATATGCATTCAAGTATATGCAGAAAAATATTAGCAACAACTACTTGTAGCTTTGTATAGGGGAAATGAATTGGTTACAAATATATGACTACGGTTGATTTTTCTTATAGTTTACGAGCCCTGAGAATGGGGGCTGGAGAACTAGCTCAGGGGTTAAGAGTGCCTGCTAGTCTTGAGGAGAGCCTGGGTTCCGTTCCCAGCACCTACATGGTGCCTGCAACTCCAGTTCCAGGGAATCCGACATCTTTAACCTCATGGGCTCCCCAGGACCACAGTGCACCAGCAGACACTCAGGCATACACACATACAGTAAACTAAACCTTGGCTGACACCTTGTAAGGGCACTGGCCACAGATGTGACCAGGTGGGACAGAAGAGGTTATTTTGTAGCAGCTGGTGTTCTCCTCTGCAGCACAGGAACCCCATCCTTTGGAGCAGCGAGTTCAACATGCAACGTGTTTGTCCCTC